CCATGGTTTTCGATATCTAAAGCTACAATAAGTAATATTGTCAACAACAAAGGAGAAAACTTCAAAATTTAGCGTCAACTGAAAAAGTTGTTCCAAATACGTATCCAAGGAAAAAACGGAATTTCGCAAAATCTTTAACATTAAAAGAAAATTCACCAAGTCAAAGGACAGTTGCAAAATCATTAAAAGGCTCAGTATCCACCGTAAATAAAATGATTAATGCTGATTTGAATCTTCAAAAGGCGAAAAAACATCATGTGTATCGTCTTTCTCCACGACATTTCGCCGAACGCTGAACGCGCTGCAGAATTCTATATGAGAAACATTTATCCGGACAAAAATGGGAAAATGTTCTCACAATAGAGGAATTTTGTGTGCACGTAAATCACTGCAATAAAACAGATCCATTTATTATCATCAAAGAGGAAAAAAATCTTAAAACGTGGGTCAAAGAACCTAAAGAATGTTTTTCTAAAGGATTTATCATTGTTGCTGGTTTTTCATATAACGGTAAAAAACGGAACAAGAAATGGGTATCAAGGCCCATATCCTTCAGTTATATCCCTACTAAATCTCCTGATCTATCAAAAATGTACTACTTTTAAACACGGGTTGTCCAAATGTCGACCTACAAACTTCTTAGACTTGTTTTAAAGCAGTTCAAGAGCAATGGGATAAAGTACCTCTTCCCATACCACAAAAGGCATTATTGTCACGGTGTATAAAGATAATGAAGAATAATGGTTATCAAATAGAATATTTAAAACATAAAAAAATTTGGTAAAATATTTCTGGAATTACAATGAAAAAAAAAATGTCCCCCAATAAATTTAAATAATAAATATTAAAAAAAATCTGAAAGGTTTCAGATTTTGAATTACGTCCAAAGGGGCATTTTTTAAGGTTTTGTGTGTTACCTTTATTTATTAAATATCATGTTCTTTGCACTTAACCCATAAAATTCAGTTCAATAGCAGTATCGCAAAATAATTTTAAAATGAGCTTATCTTTAGAATTTCCGAGACACAGTTTCGCGCGCTGGAAATAAAAAGGTTCCCCCCCCCGTAGAGTGTTGCTATTTGCTCGCTTTGAAATCCTTGAGTTTGTTAATAAAAATTTCGTTAAAGTTTTACAAAATATGCAAGCTATAATAAAACAAATTCCAAATTTCAAATTTGGTCTTCCACATGCTCATATTCGTAGGAGGATTACGTCATTCAAAATTCGATGCCTCTATGTACCGTTGTTTAAGCACAAAGCGAGAAATATACATACATTCATGGAGATTTTTTATTATTTAATTTCTTCAAATATAATGCAGGACTTTACCATTTGGTGGCAACAGTGTGAAAAGTGAAACGGATATTTATAGTGATTCAACGCAAAATCGCAAAACGAAAACAGTTCCTTCGGGGACAAAGCCCCTTTGGACTAAAACTGTGCGAACAGGCTTTGTATAATATTGCGTTATACATAACGCTCGCAATCATCTGAAAGAGAAATTTAAAGGCAAGTGCTCTCAGGTACTTCATTCGTCTCGAGACCGAAAAGTTTAGCACCCAGAAAGCGAACTGATGAACCGGCGCAGCTGACGATAAGCGGCCGCGGACTTCTCCTGTCAGCTCGCCGGCGGAGGAGTACCTACCGGTCGCCCAGCTTGGAGCTAGTAACCCTGTAGCCTCAGCGTTAGTGTTGACAAACGAGTTCTTTTATTGCTCACGCCGCATTCTTTTTAATAACCGTTCGCTTTTATTGCCCATTTTATGACTCGGAAGAGCTACTGCCGAGTATTCGTGTATCCAAATACATGATTATTATTTTTAACACGTCTATCAGATAATTTTATTTCTATTTCCCTTATGATATCCCTCGGGTTAGAGAGGGTGGTGTTGCCAGTCCATGCAATGCAAGATCTTTCATTTAATTTACATATTATAAGATGACGTTCCTTATCGATACAGCAAAATGAGGCATTTCGAAAACAATATCTGCTTCTTTATAATATTTTGATGATGTCTGGTAGCAACCAACCGCACTGAAAAGTAAAAACGTATTTACTACATAGGCTTTAAATAATGAACTTGTAGAGACATTAGGTTATTTGGAAGCAGGAGACTTGAAAAATGAGCAATGACCTCGCCGGGACTCGAACCACAGACTTCTCGAATACGCGTCGAGTATGCTGATAACTACACCACGAAGGCATGCTAAGAAGGCGGGAGAAATACCTTGTAAGCGCAATAATATTTTTACGCTGTTAGACCTTAAATACTGAACTGAATAGTATTGTTACGCTGATTTCCAAATCAGTAATCAAATTTGCTTATTAAACACAGATTATTTTTTATTTAGCGATAATTACTTTATAAAAAAATTCTAGTAAATTTAAAAAAAAATTTTATATCTTAAACACAGACACACACACACACATATATATATTTAACTCAGCAGAAGTTAACTGGCATTTTGAGGTTTAATTTTATTTTATAACTGTTTCTCATTGTGTATGTATGTTTTAAGTTTGGTTATTTCATTTTTCTATCCTGGATATAGTAATGTGCTTATAGTAAATCTTTCTGAAAAGCGTTATTTCGAAGTTAATCCAATCATGCGGTTCTTATAAAACAGTTAGGACAAATGTGCTTACATAATGACAAATGAGAAGTTTAATGATAAAATTTGCTAATCCAAAGTTTAATTAACCAACAGGGATGAAGCAGGCGGCAGAAGATATTATATACCACGTTTGAGAAACTAAACCATATTGAGCTGTGACGTGCGGCGCTGAAAATTTTGTTACATAAAAGTAAAGCCTGATGGAAATAGTGTGATTTCATAATCAAAATTGTATTTAAGGATTATTATGCACGATGTAATTAAGAAGTACAAATTATATTTAAATCTGTTTTTAATCGGAAAGTCTATTTTTAAAGTACAAAAGATCTCATTTCCCGTGGATTGTTAACAGCTTCTTGCCTCGTGTGTTTTGACTTATCTCATTCTGATAGTAGCATCAGAACAAGTCCACGAACTTCATAGTGGAAAGGAGAGAAAGATTGCGACTGTCGTTGGTAAGAGCTTCATGAGCACCATACAGGTGACGGAACCACTTCGCTCAGTTCCGCACCCGATTTTGATGGAGAGCACCCCGGGAGGACGGATCCGAGGATCTATTTCCTCACTTTCCCTACCATCAACCTCTCAAGAAAACTTTCTGCTCGTCTCATATTTAGAGTGCCTTCATGCCGTACAGACACTATACATTTACAAATATCCATGCCTTCTCCGGTATTCGAACCCGAGACCTTCGGTACAGCAGTAGGCACCCTTAACCAATACACCGTTTGGTCAGCCTGCATTGTACTTAGTTTTAGGGCTCTGACATGAATTCCGGTTTTGGGCATTTAGGTTGGTTTTATTAGAATCAGGCAGAATTCCCCAGGGCTAAAGGAAAACATACTTTCGTAGAGAACATTTTTAGGGAAAGTAACTTGTTTTTACATATTCAGGAGCGCAGGCTTTCCCATTCCGCGGGATCTGAACCTGGGCCGAACTACCAGTAGCATTCAGTGCTCTTACTCCCTCGGCTACTTGTGAGCACTGAATTCGAACATACGTTTTTGATTTATACAAATACAGCAAAGCATTTTAGGGCTATCTGTCTTAGGCCAAGGATGCCTTGGGGAAGACTTTCGAAGGTAAAATTTACTTACGTATTTAAGTTGGACCTTAGGTTAACTACAAAATACCTATGCAGCTAGCCCATTTACCGACTTTTGAACTCCGAATCGACATATTAGGGTTCTGCCGCGTTAATTATTTGGCCAAGTTTGACACTAGTAGGCCAAGTTCGGATATAAAGAATGACCGGGAAAAGGCTTTACACACGTTTTGCTAAAAAATAATTGAAATGTTTATTTTTTCTTTCCTTTCAAAGAGTGTTAGCTAAAAATTTATTTCTAAATATTTGCAGAAAATAGAAAACGAACTACTATTGCATATACCCAACGAATACCTTATCAGAATCCCCATGATAATTCTCGGATTATCTTGGATTTGGATAACAACTGTAATTAATATGAAACAAAGAACGCAATATTAATAAAAATGATAATCATAATTGTGATGAAGAATGAAAAAATTCTGGACGAAAGTACCTAATATATACCCCTACATAACATATTTTTTCTATCTCAGTAATATTTCAAATATTCATAAGAATTATCAGTTAGATAAATTCCAAATTAAATGCATTTTCATTTTTACCAATTAAATGCGTTACTCAAGCAAGTAAAGATTCAAATAAATAAGAAGTGCGTTTACTAGGTTTAAAACACTCAGTTTGTTAACCATTAATAGATGGACTAAATCTAAAAGATAAATCAAATGTTTTGTGTTCTTCTTTAATATGGTAAGATTCTGAGAGTACGTGAAAGTGCATGGAAGTTATCCAAAACTTGTACTTCGTGCAGAAGCAATACATTGCTTTTAATTTGTTCAGTTTGTTAACAGATAACAGAATGCTTAAATTTGAAAGATAAATTAAAGATCTTACGCTTAGTCGAATAGCAATATTATGGAAAATATATATTCCCTTAAGCGTGAAAGATAAAATAAAGACGTAATATTTCACGTAGAGACAAAACTTTTCAAGGGCTTTCCGCTTTTTTTGTTCGCTTCCTAGACATGATTAGATATACGAATTTGATTTTACCAAGATGTGATTTTATATGTTATCTCAAATAACACACCTTCTTCAAAGTGTTAAGAAAAGTAATTCAAAAATCCATCCAATCCGAGAATTCGATTATCGAGCCGAGGTGTAGTTCCGTTTAAGTCTGGATAAATTTCGTAAACGAGAGTGGCATTATTTTCTTTGCTGAACCTATGTATTCTACCTTATTTTTCTTCAATTAAATTATAACCTGATGATTCAGTCTCTGATTAACTATATAAATTCTATTTTTTTTTTTTTTTTTTTTTTTTTTCTTTGCTTTTAGGAACAGCGAGCAAGGGGTGATCGTAAAAGGTCATGAGCATGTGCAAGGGTTCGGGAACAACCTCTGCCGAATGGGACATCAACGACAATAACATTCCGAAGGTACGTAAAATTTTTTATTAATGTGTAACTACTCTCAGCACATCTCAGACGAGGTTAGTAGGTAGCAGTATGATTATAAAACTATTATTGTAACTTAGCTTTAGAATAAAGATCTTAATACGTTAAGGCCAATTTGAAATGTGTGTTGATGCCACGGAAGACAATAAAGGACAACTATGCATGATTCATCGAATATTTTTGTTTTTAATATTATGGCCGAAACTCTAGTAAGATGTTTTTCGAAAGCCAGAAGGTTACGATCGTCTTAAGCAAGAAGTCGTATTTAGAAGCAAAGTTTATTGTAGGCAACAAGGGGATCTGTAAACTTATTATGAGTCAATATAAAATTTATTAGGGAAATCTATGTTTTTGGTTTCGGTATAACTCACTCGTTGTAGAAGGAGTAATTTCCCACAATTACAGCTATTTTCTGGACATATGAGGGTATATGCAGTTTGTAATAAACATTAACGTGCGTGTTTTGATTGATTTTGCCGAGCAGATAAAACCATTGAATGTTGTTGTTCGTTCTGAATTCTGGTTTTGGCCAACGGGATGACAGCATGGGCGTTTTTCGTAGTCCTCTATGAATATGAGCTGATTTTCTTAGTAAAGCCTTCTTTAACGGTATCCTTTCCTTTAGACAGGCCATTATATTATGCCTTGCTATAATCAAACAATCAAATTTTTATAGGATTTTTATAGACTAACAGACGTCAGCAGCCCACTATTGTATACAGGCTGTATCAGTCTTATCCAATTCTATCAATACTAGCTCGCAGCCAAATAAAAGTACTTTTACGAATGCTTACTTTTAAATGTTAACAAGTCTGATCTTTATAAATCAGTATTTAAGAAAATAAAGCCTATGATCATCTTTTTCCAAAATGTAGTTAATTGAGTCAATATAACCCTTCAAAAATGTATATTAAATTATCTCTACATATAATAAAACAAAAAGTCTGTCTGTGTGTTTTTCGTTCGTTCTGCGTGTGAGCTAATCGACCCAGGGCTACGAAATTCGTTACATAGGATGCATCTTGAAAAGAGCCACTGCACCTCAAAGCGATTTTTTCAAAATTCGAATCATATTTTTTTTATTTTATCTTTTTTGATAAAAATCGCATCATTTTGAATAGTTTCATTCTTTTATGTGGTTTCGGCAACAGGTTTTCATTCATTGCCTTGGCTACTGGACTGCTGAATGTTTTCTCTTGAAAATATGAGATTTATTGCATATTTCGTTGTAATTTTTTTATATTATGTTTTAATTACATCTAATTTTAATTGTATAAAACGTTCTGCATGTTTTTTAGTAAAGAAAGTGTTCTTCCTTTATACCATTTGAATTCTTAAGATTTTGCAACGGGAACAAAAATTTAAACATTCAATTTTAATTTTTTTTTGGGGGGGGGTCAGAGTCACCACAAATGTTTAAAGGAAATTTGGAAATACTTGAGCCAAAAAGCACATTTAAAATTTTATAATGGTTGTTGAATGACAGCTGCAAAATTATGAAGAATTCTAAGGATCTCCTAATCTTCTTTTTTGGGCTATGATAGTTCCCCTTGCGAAGCCGTTATTACAATTAATAGAAACATATTGCGTCAGTTAGTTGAAAAATAAATAGCATATTGTTTTTAGCTTATCCCTGGCATTTCATGTACTAAATCCCTTCCACGCAACTTTTCTTCCTAAACTTCGTAAAATAAGTTGTTATTTTTTAAAATCTTTACACAATAAATTATTTTCAGTTACATGCTAGAACATCGTATTTTAATATTATTTCAATTAACATTAATATTTATAAAATTTAATATTGTTACGAAATGTTCAGCCACGATAAGAAGATAGCTTCACCGCAAAGTAGGTTTGGGTTTGGCAGAAAATGTCCAATGAAGGTAGGGTTGCCATATTTGGTGCGAAATCGCCCATTTGGCGGTAAAATTGACAATATGCCATAGACGGATGGAGAACCTTCTGGAACGAATTCCTACCGGTTTGGACCAGAATGTTCTCGAACGCAAGCCAAAAGCTATATAGACCCTTGCTGGAACGCAGAGAGTCAGTTGATAGTCAGTCAGTCAGTTAGTACATAGTCCATCCAGTTGATCGTCAAGCTAATCTCAAGCTGGTCGTTGTCTGTATCGCGAGTTGGTGCATCGTTGAGACTATCGAGTGTATCGTCTAGTGCTTCGCGAGCTGTAGCGTGGAGAGTCTCGAGAGTACGTAGAGTTCCGAGAACGACCGAACCGAGTCGGGAGCTGTACGCTGGTGCTTTGCCGTGAAGCTGTCTTCACCGTTATAGCCTGAAAGTTGTGCTGTTGTTGTTTCAAGCGCGTTTGCCGTTTCGACGACCGTAAACATGCTTTTGGAACAGTCCTGTGTAATACTAGCTAATAAATTGTGTTTTGGTATTTCATCAAGTGCTGTTCTCATTATTCACTCCAAATCCACGAACCCGTACGTAAAAAAAAAAACGTAACAATATATTTAAATCTGGTGTTTAACACCTCAATGGTCATCAACGAGCTCGCATTCCATTTACGCATCGCAATAGGCACAAAGGAACCAGCTGGCATTACAAATTTATGCCTGAAAGATATCGCGCCTATTTGGCAGAAAAGAATGTCTTAATCTCTCAACCGCAGAAGGGGTAACATTACATGTACTATTTTTTTCATCTGATAGCCACGTTCTGTCCCTGTATCCGTATATTTAAATGTGATGAGAAGTTCTGTAAGGAAGAGACTGTTTTAAACAGACGTTAGCTCTTGGATTCTAATGACAGGTAAAAGATATAACGCCAACAGGATGGCTGACTTACCCAAAGACTGAGCCTTACGTAATTATAATACCCCTCTGGCGGATGGCCACAAGAGGAAGACTTTCAGTCTTTCAGTCTAATTACAACGAAATGTCGTACTTCAAAGAAGTAATCTGATATATATAATATATATAATATATATGATTGATGATATATATAATATATTAATAATGATATATATAATATATAATATCTATAATATCGATATAACTTCAAAGAAGTAAACAATATATTTAAAACTCAAGCTTCAAAGAAGTGATGACATCCTGAAGTTCGAAGCAGGGGGTGGGGAATAGCTCTACAAAAAAATCTTTGGAACCACAAACTTCTTGAAACGTAACTATCTAAATCAAAATAGTGGGTCTGCATACATAATACGATACGAGAATCATTATGATATCCTTCAAGATATTCTGAAAGAGATGGGTAAGCTGGCTGACGATTGAGTATTTTTACCGAAATGACGCATCAGTAGTTGCGAAGTTTGTGTTATAGAATAACCAATAACCAAATTTCAGAAGGCGAGAAATTAACTACATACCTAATTATTTAAATGGGTTTGTAGACTTAAATAATAAGACTTTCACAGCCAGATCAACTTTCAATTTCTTATGTTGTACTGCTGTAAGGTATACAAAAGAATTCGGCACCTCATACAAAAGGTTTCACGTAAAAAACGTTTTCCGATGCGCAAATGGGCTGTTATCTGTGATAAGCTGTGGACATATTTCTCGCAACTGGGTTGCTTATCGCAAAATACTTGAATAATCATTCTGAACAATTTTAAGGCTCATCCTAATTTTATTAGAATGCGCCTTTTCATCCTTTCTCCCGCCTCTCGGAAGCAAAGAACGAACAGCTATTTCTCATCAACTTTCCACAGACTTTGAGCGCATTAACTATTTTTCTCACTTGCATTTTTTGTAGGCGGAGGCATTTTGAGATCTTTTATATATAAGTACTTCTTCTCCAAGAGACAGAAAAGTTCTGAACCCGAGATAACCCTTCGCCGACGCTGAGCTAGCTCACAATGACCAGGGAAAAAACGCCGAAGAGGGAGCCTAAATTTCGAAAAAACAGCTAAATGCGCATCGTTATATAAATGCTCTTTTAAAAAATAATAATAAAAAAGTGGATTTTAAAAAAATACCTTTTCAAACATGGTCTCCCATCCTGTCGTCGCAGATAGCTGTCACATCCGCTTGTCCCCTTTTGTGGTCGGTTTGCACAAAAGACTCGTGTTTTCCCGCAGGGGCTGGCAATGCATTCACCCCCTTGTGATTAGGGGGCAGATTGTGGGTGGCCGCCGACACGCCGGCACCAGCCTTTCAATGATGTCGCCGTTACCTAATCATTTTCTTCTCATCTTTTTAAACTAGTTAAATTTATAATTATAGAAATTTTGTTGATGTTTGGAGGTGTTTCTTTTAAAAAAATAATTCAAAGCGTAATTAAAAATTCCTTTAAGAAGTTAACATGTTTGTTACCATTCATGATCTCATTCGCTTGATTTTTAGCCCTAAGAGGCAATTTGTCTAGAAGGGCTATTAACTTCGTTTTCGCATTTTGCGTTGTCCACTATGAAACGGCGTTTCACTTTTCATATTGTTGTCACCAAATATTCGAGCAATTAAATAATGACGAATCTGCATGAATGCATGTATGTTTCTCGCACTATGAAAAGACAACGGTACTTAGAGACATTAAATTCTGAATAACGTAGTCCTACACTCAAATATGGGCATCTGGAAGCCCGAATTTGGAATATGTTATTTATTTTATTATCTATTTCATATTTTGTAAAACTTTAACGAATTTTTGATTAATAAACTCGACGATTTCAAAGCGAGCAGTGGCAACACTGTACGGATTTAAAAAAATTGGCTGCAGCGCTCGAGACTGTGTATTGGAAATTCTAAAGATATGCTCTCTTTAAATATTTTGTGATATTGCTATTGAATTGAATTTTATGGTTTAAATGCGAAAAACATGCTATTTAATAAATAAAGGTAATGCAGAAATCGTTAAAGATGCGCCCCTTTGAATGTAGTATAAAAAATAAAAGCTTTCAGATTTGAATTTTTTTTTTTTTTTTTTTTTTTTTTTTTTTTTTTTTTGAGGGTGGGGGTCCTATGCACTACGGAATGCTAACTGACCTTTCACTGCAAGGCCC